TAATAATAATAATATTAATAATATATATGTAATTAATATAGTAATGATAATATTAATATTATACATACATTTAATATAATAATAATAATAATATTAATATTATATATACAATATAATATTATAAGATAATATTATTATTATAATATAATATTACAATTAGTACAATATTATAGCTCATAAAATAGCTCATAAAATATTTGTTGTAGAAAAAATNACCTCCAATAAGTCATAAAATATTTGTTGCACGAAAAAATGTTTCAGATAGAAGTTGCATGGCTTCCAAGGGGACATATAAAATTGTAATCAATTTTATATTATTTCGCCTTTTTATCAAGAGCCTTTAATTTTTTAAATGGGATAATTAATACTTCTTCCCGGATTCGGATGTAGCGTTGAATTCTACCTAAAGAAAGTATTATACCAAATAGGGTTTAAGATACGTATGTAGATACTGAAATATTAGCGAAAGTAAATTACGTTTATTAGGAACACGGCCATTAATCAACGTGACTGTTAACAGAACGTAGTCAGACAACTTTGTTTACGAGCGGCCGATCAGTATTGGAAAACGCAGTTCTAGATGCTACATAGGTAACGACGCATGCAACAACGTATTAGTCGTGCATGTGCTGCAATAACAGCAGAAACTCTTGACAATGTTTCTCGCTCTCTAATAATGAGATTACGTGATTGTATTGATTGCAACCGGCAGCAGTTCGAACATCGCTTGAAATAAAACTAATTTTGCTAATATCTCAGCGGCTACGTATCCTAGATCCTATTTGGCGTAATACTTTTTTATGTTGAATTCAACGCTTTATCCGAATTAGGGGTGATATATTAACTATTCCATTAAAAAAAATGAAGGTGATCTTCGTATCTTGATAATAAAGTAAAATAACATAAAATTGATTAGAATACTATTTGTCCTCCTAGAAATCATGCAACTTTTATGTGAAACATTTTTTCATACAATAAATATTTTATGAGTTATTTGAGGTCATCGTGTTACGCGACTCACCCTGTATATGTGTGTCATTTCGACTCCTATGGAATATAGGTAAATTTTGAATTTCAGAAGTTTTTCGTATCATTTTAATTATATATTATTATTATTATTATTATTATTATTGTTATTATTATTATTATTATTATTATCCAGTTTATAATCAATTTTCGTTGATAAAAATTTGAACTCCACCGTCAACCTTGGACTCCACTAGTATTAAAACTGAATTAAATTACTTAAATTTTCTTTTAATTGATGGAAGAACTAGTATATTGAATAATGATTAAAACAATTTTTTTTTCATTTTGCTATTGCTCGGAATGACAAATAAAATAAAAAAGGTTCTTGTCTTTTAACTTTCTTATTCGAGTCTATAAGATAAAAGTAACTATTACGAAACACCGCTCAATTGTTATCTGATTGTGAAAGAATAGCATAAATAATACAATAAAAATCAGATAGAGCATATGAAATTGAATGTAAAAATTTTATCTATATTTTCGAATATTGTTCTTTATAAAGTCACTCACACAAATACCGTGATATAATGCTAAGCAGTAAAGAAAATGTTCATTCGAAAAGACGAGTGTTTCTAAACAATATTTCTAAACAATATATATCACATATTGTATACTTCAATTTTTCCATTTTCGCGAGTTATGGAACGCTTGGTGTCCGCGGTGTCACGGATCAGCCATTTTGAACGAGCGTTTTTTACTTCGTATGACGTCACAGTGAACAGTTATCTACGCTTCACTGGACGCTTGGATTTTCTAGAGACACGCACTATACACATGCCGTGTATAATAGTATAATGATCTAAACCTGATATATGCAACGTTGCCAAGTGCTCGTACCCTCCCCCTACTCGAGGTTTCCGTCAGTTTCCATCCAATTAGATAGCGTGGTACACTCTTTTGTGTGTCAATACGTTCTTATGGACGTTTTCCACTATAAATTAGGTTATCGGAGAATTCTGAAATTATTCTTCGGAGATACAGCGAAATTTAGCGAAGTCTCGGTACAGGGATTACGTATTGAAGATTGAAACTTTGAATTTGAGATGATGAAATGCTTGAAAATTTTAACAAGACGTAGACGACAATTAACACATTGATAGAATTTCAAGAAATTCTTAAATAAATCTCTTTCGAGTACAACTACCTTAACACTAAGTTTACGTGAAAATGGCGGGCCACTAATTTTTTAATTTACGATTATTCGGATCGTAAAGACACATTTATGAGTTATTTATCCAATATATGTGTGAATTGTGGCAAATATTACAATCACACTCGTTAAAAATCAGAATAAAATCGTTACGTTTGTCGTTAAATTAAATTAAGTTAAATTAAATTCAATTACTTGAATTTAATTTAATTATTTTAATCTAATTTAATTATTTTAATTTAAAAATCGAATCCTCTCTTGAAGGCGATCATCTCGAATTTGAGACAACGACGAAGATAATTGACGAAGACGTAGACGGTGCTTATATAAACACAGCAGAATTTCAACAAATTCTTAAACAAATAACTTTCGATTGCAGCTACGTTAAGGACAATTTAACTACGTTATTTATTTATTTATTTTATCTATTTACATTAATTACCAACTACGTTAATAATTACAACAGATTACCACATTTTCAAAGCCATGTTTAAACGTTAATGCCATGAATTGGCCTTTCGAATACAAAAAAATTAGTCAACTGTATCTTTTAACGTGTCAACTTAACTATTCAACGTTTCATCGGGCTCGAAACAAAAGCGCCGCACATCGTGTACAATAAAATTTATCGAAATTGACGGAAACTCACATTGATGCCGCCTTGACGAGCCGCCTGGATGAATCTCTTCACATTAACCAGATCCCCCCTCTCCACAGCCAACAGATACTTCTTCTCCTCGAGGTTCAAAGGGCCGGGCAGGTTGACGGTGTACGTGTCCCCTTGGCTCGGTCCGGCCTCTAAATCGTCCTGGGACTTGTGGCAGGTCATTCTGCACCATGAAGTCACCGCTCGGAATTATCCGTCGATAGGGAACGACTCTGCGAAACTTTGAACTTGTTTTTTTCGTACGGTCTTTGTACTTCACTGTTTCACTGTTTCAACACAAAGGCACGACAGGCTGGGCACAGTTCTCGGCGGCAGCGAAATGATTAGCTCCCTGAAATTAGCATCCTCGGAACCGGCGGCATCCGATTATTTGGTGCGCGACTTCGCAGAACCGGAAGATAGGATCAGCTCTGGCCAGTTCCGTTGTCCCCGATTGTCGGCGTGCTCCGCGAGTCGTGGAATCAGTCGGGGTCAGCTGCTGAGAGGGATAATTTGGACGAGTTGATCATCGATGTCCCGGCCCGTGTAACCGCAACCGGCGCAGACTTGCCAGATAAACGAGACTCGGCCACCGGCCGCGCTTATATAGCGGATGATGGAAATCGAATTACCAGCATTAACCGAGACCCTGTTTATTTGCTCCCTCGTTTAAGGCGCTGTCCATACGCGGGCTAATTTGCTTATCGATATCTCGTTAGCCACACCAGCGAACGTTGTACGACACTCCGACAACAGCCGGCTGAATTGCTGTGGCCCTGGCCAGTATGGCCGGAGCCACACACGTTTTACCTGCGTCCTTGTGATTGTTTACGTTCGCCGTTCTATCCGAAAGGGTTGGAACGAGAGGAGACCATGCTCGGAGCGAGAAGGACGCCAGTTGGCAGCGATGCCATTGACCCGGTTTCTGGAGGGTGGAACGCATCGGCCAAGGTCGAGGATCGTAAAACGAGATGTATTATTGTTAATATTATAGGCGGCGAAACCTCAAGGGTCCGTTGCTTTATCGCCTCGGATCGTCTCCTATTTTCTCGCGACTCTCGCCTTTTTTACAAGCGTCGTCCTACGGGGGGGGGGGGGGGGGCAAATAT